AATATTTGAGAATATTCATAAAGTTCGAATGCATTGCAATGCTTTAATGATGATATTGAATACCCATGTATGAAATTCACTAGTAAATATGATTGACTAGTGGAACGATTTGTTAGAAATCCTTCAACATTGTTGTTTGGAATTGATAAAGCTTTAAATAAAGCTAATGAGAAGCATGTAGTTTCATGAGAGGATTTCTTAGTTGGTGACAATGTGTATCTACCAAATGAATCGATCATTGACTAGCTAAATTTGAAAAGATACTAAGTCACATATAATGGTAAGTCTAGACATGTATGTTGTAGATATAATACCATAAACAGTTGATTTCATTGGTGTAAACTTGTGGATCGATTTATATATGTTTACCAAGAGATCAAGTATACTGCACATCGAAGGGAATGAGATTAAGCCTACTGAGTAAGATCCTTATAACAGTAACCCTACCATGTTGACTGGAAATCTCAAGATCTTGGTTCAAAGGGACGACTAAGTTATGGGGATTCTATGAAACACTTAGGAAACTAATTTCCTAACTCATTCCTATGATACCAAAGTGCTTTCTGCAGAGTGATTGGAGGTTAAGATAAACCTTTAATGATTCCTATATCTTGATTAATTCAATTGGAGTAGGGCAGAATACTCTTAATAGGAAATCACCTGTGTAAGTTTGAAGTGGGGCCGCTTCAATGAGAATTATTCAAGGCTTGAATTTTTTGAGCACTTACAGAATCAAGATGGGTTCAGGGCCAAAATGAACCAAATCATGAGAACCATGAACGGTTTATGGGAGACATTGTGTGAGTACTGTTGTTTTGGTTTATGCTAACGGCTGATGGTTCAAGAACATCGTGTTCACCAATTAACTAGTAAATCTGATGGTATTTCATTAGGAAAGGTTCAAAGCCAGAAGCTACTTTACCTGATGCAGTGTTTTCCGTTCTCTCTGTACTAGTGTCTGCATAAATATTTGCATTAATTATCATTCATGTGGGGGGATTGTTGGAATTTTTTTTATCGGAAATTGGTTGTGACCAATTTTAAATGATTATTTAAGTGGAATTTGTTATTTGGTGAATGAGAAATTAAGCCAAATGTAAACTACTTAAATACTGAAAATTATTGAAAAAATCGTATAAAATATTGTGGAATATTTTAGAAATATATAGAGAAAAAATGTGGCTTTTCGTATGAAAAGATCACGACTCTTGGTATGGGTATGATTAATGTCCAATAATTATGAATTCCAAGAGATGTGTCTCTTGGTATAGTTGTGTCTTTTGACATACCTTTCCAACTACTATATATATAAACCCCACGTGTTTGAATTTTATTCATTCAAGAAAAGTCATAGATACCATATCATTTCATTCCAATTTACACTTTGGTTTTGCATAAAATATTTGCATCAAAATCATGGCCATGGTCATGGTCATGGTAGAGAGGGAATTTCGTTCGAGTTTGCTGGTCGAAGTCATTTGGAGTGCTCCTATGGCTCAACGTGGTCGTTGTATCTTGGGAGATGATTGCCGAAGAATCATTAGCACCGATGCGGGGCAAATTCATTTTAAGGACAAAGTGTCCAACACTTGCCTCGACCAAAAATTCGTTATTTGTATATTCTTTCTTCATTTTCTGATTTCTTGTATTATGATTTGATTTCAGAAAATGTTTAACGTTATTTATATGTTTATTCTGTAAGGTTTGATTCAAAGAATTATTTGCTTTTGATCATGAGTTGAAAGGAAAGAATCCATATTCAGGTATTCGGATTCGATAAATTCTTATTTTGTCTTCTCAAATCCTATCTCTGTAAGTTGAAATTGCGTTTTGATTTCACACAAATAAACGACATGATTTTGTGAATATAATATGCATAATATCGGTGTAATTTTCCAACAGTATTCTAACCAATATATTGTATGCTGCTTTTTGTAGTATACAGATCAGAAATAATAAAGGTCATAGTATGGAAAATGTATTTGTGCATTGATTGCATATACTTAATTGAAGAATAATCCATTCATGAAAGGTGATTTCACTTTAGAATGTAATTAAAATTACCTGCATTATTCTGGCGCCTCATAAAAGTGCCAATATATTGCAATTTGTTCTATTGTTATGGAATAAGAAAAATCAAGGATGGGAATAAAAGCATGCATTTTCCATTTAGTCGGAATGAAGGAAGCCATACTTCTACTTAATAAAGGCAGCCTAACAGTTAAAAATGTTTTTCTGGTAGAGATCTATAGCATTAATCTCAACTTAACTACCACTTTTTGATTCGTTAGAATCTTATCAAGAAAAGTTGAAGTTTTTTTCTATTATTTCCATATATTTTGGCATTATGACTTGAGGACTCTATGAAAGAAAATTGGAATGATTCGTTGGTAGAATGTTCTAATTTTGCAAGTGAAAAAAAATCTTGTAATTAATTGTTGATTAACAAAATGATCGTTCTTTCTTTTTCACGATAGTCAATAGTAATTAATCAAATCAAGTTTAATTGATTTTAATGTCTCGTGTTAGTTTTTTTTCCCCATTACCACGCTTTTGGAAATATTTTCCAAACATCTTATAACTAGAAAGTTTTTTTAGTCGACTTTCGAGGAATACCATGCATGAGACAAACATGTAAAGTGTAAATGTGAAATAAAATTATTTCGTTTCTTTGAATTTTTTACATTTTTATATGATTACCAAGAATTTTGAATGAGGCATAGGAATTATTCTTGATTGGCAAGGCGTTGTTGTCACAGCTTGTTCTTAGTCCCGTTTGGCCCCCATTAAATATTTAAATTTCATTTTATTTTTCTCTCTTCGATTTTCAACCACACAATCTTTTATAAAATAATATTATACTTAAATCAAAAAAATTTCATTCTTTTTCAATTATTCATTTTTCGAAAAAGTACTATTTTACCCATTTTTATTTCAAAAAATGGGGCCAAACGAAAGCTTACTGTATCTTGAGATATTTTTCTATTGTAGAGTATTAACATTTCGTGTTGATGTTTTAATTGCGAAAGAGGTAGATTTGTAAATTAATTTAATTCAAAGTCTGAACTCGAATCATATTATCATAAGCTCATGACGCATTAAATCTTTCGAATATTCTAACACTTCTTAGTGGGGTCACTTGTTAAATTGAATAAAAAGAACAATATTCATAATTTTGAATCTTCTTATATTACACATAAATAATCATATTTGTCAAAACCTTAATAAACAAACAAGGTAAACAGTATCCCCTGAATCATCTAGGGCAAACCTTCGTTCTCAGTTCTTCCCATCTCTTCTTGTACACCATCCTACCCCACGCTTAGTGTAAAATTACTGTATTTTTGTGCTTATTATGCCCCCTACCATGGCAAGTGGAATGCCCACAAACACTTCGCGAGCTGAAGAACTCAAGCTCCTCGCAAATGAAGCCTTCAAAGGTGGTAGAATTAATCACCGGTGCTCTGTTTTTGTATCTGTATTTCATTGTTTTATGTGATTTTTTGTTTGGTTTTGATCTTTTTTTTTTTCAGCCCATAAATATTCTCAGGCTATTGATTTGTATACGCAAGCGATAGAAGCCAATAACGACAATGCAGTGTACTGGGCTAACCGTGCATTTGCGCACACTAAATTGGAAGAGTATGGAAGTGCTATACTGGACTCTACAAAAGCTATTGAAATCGATCCAAAATATTCCAAAGTGAAGTTCTTTTATTTTTTCCTTGGTTTTTGTTTTTCCAATAGAGGACAGTATAAGTTGATTCCTTTTGTTTTATGGGTAATTAAAAAATTTATTGATGGGTGTTGATTGGCTAATTTGTACAGGGTTATTATAGACGAGGCGCTGCGTATTTGGGATTGGGCAAGTTTAAAGAAGCTTTGAAGGACTTTCAACAAGTGGGTTTCCTTTGGCTTTTTTGTTTGTACTTGTATACCGTTTTGAAGTTTTGATAACATTGGGTCAAAGATTAAAACTTTGTTTGTTCTAGTGTGATGTTTGCTCCCGGTGAAATGTAGAATGTATTATTGAACTCCCATAAAATTATAGAGAATTAAAGTTGTTCACTTTAATGTACATTAAGACAACTAACATCTTCACACTTGATTCAAATGAACCACAAAATGTGTGCAAATGTGTAATTATTCTGTACTCATGGAAGTGTGCCTTTAAGGTGCGTGTTTGGTAAATCCCACAAGGTTGAAAGGAAAATATAATGCGATCTGTTACCTAATGTGGGTAGTTAAGAATATAATTCTAATTTGAGGGTAGAATAGATGAGAATGCTAACATGAATTTTCCAAAAAGAAAGATGAGATATAATAGAAATGAGCATATTCATGAATTGGGCTTAAGTGGTGGCAGTTGATAAGCTGTTTAAGAACTAAAAGAGATGGTTTAAACACATTCAACAAGGATCACAGATGAACTAGCCAGAAAACGGGATTGTACCATTAAAGTAACCTGTGGGGAGATTGAAATAAGATACATAATTGGAAAGCTTACGAACCCTTTGTAGTTTACCTTTTAAGATGATCTTTCATAGAACATAGAGAGAAAGATAAAATCTATGTAGTTGACACTCTAGAAATGTGGAGTAACGCTGTCGTCTGTTGTGGCGTTGGTAAAAACAGTCGAAAAGGCAACAAGAGGAAATATCAATCTCCAATGACATTAATTATATGTAAATAGTATTAACATTTTCAGGCTACTTGTTCTTTTCTCACCTCTAATTATGGGTGGAATTAAATATTTACATTTTAGAGGGTCTTTTTTATTTTTTTCATATAGATATTGGCTTTAATGGCAAAATTTGGTGCTTCTGAATTTTCATTTCAAAACTATTGATAGAGGTTGAAGAGTTTCTGTTATATTTGAGTTGATAGTGCAGAAATCCACTCTCATGGTTGATCCACATTCTAATAGGTTATCCACCCCGTATTTTTTTTATGAACTTGACTTTTGTGCTTCTACCCACTTTTGGGGCACATTTCTTTTTGTTGAAGCTCTGTGTTTTACTAGAAGGAAAGCATTAATCTTCTTACAAATCAAAATTTTATTATGCTGATGGATTAGGTCAAGAAATTATGTCCAAATGATCCTGATGCAGCCAAGAAATTAAAGGAATGTGAGAAAGCTGTGATGAAGCTAAAATTTGAAGAAGCTATTGCAGTGCCTCAATCTGAAAAAGTTTCAATAGCCGACTCTATCGATTATCATGCCATAGGTATATGAAACTTTCACTTGAATACTTTTTTTTCCCTAGTTTTTTGCATCTTTTGGAACAGTTCAACTATTACTATCAATTATATTCTATTTTAGTTGAGAGTTGGACCCCACCACTGATTAGTATATTACAGTATGATTTCTTCGTGATTGTGGATTCTCACTGTATGTTGTGGTTCACTTTCTAGATAATTTGTTAAAATGATAGAATGACATGGCATAAATAGCTCCATCTACTTCTCATTCTGATCAATGTCTAAGTGCTTTTTATTGGATGCAATTTAACCCATGCTTCATGTTATGTGTTACTATTTCAATATTTTGTTTGTTGTCAGGGTGGTTAGATTTCAAATAGAAGGGCTTATGTGTTCCTAATGCGCACAAATGTCTTGCCTTAACTTATTGTTCCATGATATTTTAATTTTCTTTATAGTTATACTTATATCTTGGCCTGCCTTGGGATTGAAAGATGGTGGCAATTGGATACCGGTCATGTTGGCTGATAGTTGGAAAGCGAGAAAAAGGGACATTCTCTTTCAATTGATCTGTCAATCATCTAGAGGGATAAAACTTGTTATTATAATTTAATGTAAATGCATGGAGGATATATATACAAACTAAGAAGCATGGATTCAGATATGTAATTCGAATAAGATATGATACGGGTATGTCGATATAGTTTTTAAAAACAATTAGGATACGCATATACATGTATTAAAACTTCATACCATTATCGATTTCCAATAATAAAACTATATTATAAATTATTGACAAAATTTTACATTGACAGTTTTAATACTATTATCGATTTTCAATAATAAAACTATACTTGTCAACTGTTAACACACTTACACACACACATGTGTGTGTATGTGCGCGTGTGTGTATAATTAAATTTTTTTTTATTATTTTGTGTTTCCAATAATAAAACTGTAATTGTCAATTAATTTAAAATTCTTGTTAAATACTATGAGCTTGTTTGAGTCCCATTATTCGCTCCAAAATGCATTTTGGAATAATATTGTGATGAAGAATGTGTGGTTAAAAAATAAGAAAGATTTTGGGTTTGTGTGTAATATTAATTTATTGATGAATTTGTGGTTGAAAATAAGAGAGAAAAAATATATTTTTAAATTAATAGAGACCAGACAAGGGCTATAAATATTTCGAATAATAAGTGTAAACTGTATAATTAAAGCACATTTGATTTCTTTGAAATTGTTAACTAATAAATATTACCTAATGAGCCAGGCTTAGAGACCCCACAAAATATCTACCATCATATCAGCTTCAAAGAGTTCGCTTCATAAATGAGTTATTTATAACAACAATAATTATCTATTAAATAAATATAGTTTGTCATCTGTCGTCAATAATACGTCTTAAAAGAGTTTAAAACCATAAACTCTTTCTCTTCACGTGTCATAGCGTATCCAATGCAAATCGAATATTAAAAAATATAAATATATATAAAATATTAAAAAACACGTATGCGGTACGTAGTATAGAGTATTCAAGCATATTAAAGATTGGATAAGTATCGAATACGGTTAGGCAATAAATTTACAAATATCCGTGCTTCTTAGTATGCAAATGCACATGGACACATATACAAATGCATTTCTACATGTCTGCATCTGCTTGATAGGGTAAAATTTGTCTATCCTGTTAAGTGGGGACACATTTGTCAAGGTTGAACTTTGGGATCTAAACGTGAAACAGTTTTTTCGGCCATTTGTGAACATCGTGATTTCATGGTTTTTTATGTTCTTGAATCCTTGAGGTGGCTGTGACCTCAGGGCCAATCTTTTAATTTTCTGTTGTTTCTTTACTTGCTTTTTTAATGATCCCCCACCTGACTTCAATTTTTATTTCTGCTTTTCTTCTTGCATCATATTAGAAATTTGGATATGGCTGGATGTGGTCATTGGTTCCAAACATGGGATCATATGGTCATGAAAATGTTGTTTGATAAAATTTGGACTTCTCTGTCATTTAGTATAATATCAATAACACGAAATGAAGGAGATTCGAGTCTTCTTGCCCCCTGGTAGATAATGCTCACCCATTGCCATGTTAGATAAAATCTGAAGGGAAAATATAGGATGATGTTAACTTGTATTTTTTTTCCATCATAATAAATATATTAGTTACACTTGTACTTAGTAGTATTATAATTATCTTTTACCTATTTTATCATTATAGGGACGAGCCCAGGCTCATGTTTTGTTTCCCTGAAAGTAATTGCTGTACCAGCGGCAGTCGCACTAGTGGCTGTATTGGCAGTATATGTGGGGACTAAAGCAGCCTTAGTAGTGGCAGCAACAGCTATGGCAACAATTTTGGTGTTTTGGGGGACGTTTTGGAAGGGTCGCTGCAAAGACAGTATCTTTACCAAGACTCGAACACTTGACTTAGGTTTGAGCTTCTAAAATTAAACTACATAATAAGGAAAGATTACAAATAAGTTATTTGGTGACTCAATTTTTTGACCTTTTGAGTTGTTGATATCTGCTCCAAATGAGTGTGTTATCAAAAGACAAGGTGTTCTGAAAGTAAACTAAAATTTATGTCTCCACTGCTGTTGCATCACGTGTACTTGTGCTGAGCATGGCAACCTTGTCCTATTAGAAATGAATGCTCACTTTATTTTTTTTCCTGTAGAAGTGTTGTGTGTGACTTTGCTGGCATTTTGACTGATAGAATAACACTTGATGAACAACTTCCTTATGGATTGACGTTGATGTGGTTACTGATTATTGCATCTTTTGTGAAATGTCATGTGGAGACAGCTAAATAGTTTGTTCCTTATATGGCTGCTGCCTCGCATATGAGTTGAGTACTTGATAGTTTATTCCTTTACTGGCCCCATATTGTCGTTCAGACTTTTTATAGATTTATGAGTCGTAATATGGGAAGTTTTGGGATGAAGTTACTGTAAAATGAATTGCTTTCAAGAAGCTAAGGCATTTATTTTGATTGTGTTTCTTCTGCTCTCAAATTTTCTTCCCCTGTTCTTTCTGCATTAAGTTGGCAACGATAGTGGAAGTGGTATAGGATGACCTTGGGGGTCCCATCTATTATAGACTTGCGGTCAAAATCAGTATGGGAGAGAACTCTGAATTTCTATGTTAGAGGGGAGAATTTGGATTTGAGGGATCTAAGATGGATATAGGATGGATGAAGACGTGGATGATTAGAGAAGATTAGATTTGAGTAGCTCGGTCATGCGATAGTGCTTAGAAAAATTAGTTATGGTTTAAAGTGAAATTGGTTGGACTTGGAAATTCTGGATTTTAATGTAAACAAACTTTGATGAAGGATTGGGCACAACATTTAATGAGAACAAAGAAAAATGAGAGGTGGAAAGAAAAACCTGTGAAGGATTTGATTGCTGCCATCACTCTCAAAAAAGGCTTCAGCTCTCTGAAGGTCTAGTAAAATTCTTCGTTATATCATAATGACTAGCCGCACAATGGTTCATGGAGCTTAGATGTTTTAATTGGTTTGCGTGGATTGAAGAATTATAATTGCTTCTGACTGGAAATTAATTATCAAAACATGTGATAAAGCCAACACATAAATGATATAATTCTTAGCTGATTCTACAAGAAACCATTCATTCATTCAGATTCCATTAAAGCTTCACAAGCTGGAATCTCTTGAGGATAAGTTCTTTAACGATCTTATTGTTTTATTCTCTATTGTGAATTTGAAACCTTTTTGCCTACGACCTGCTTCTTGAAAAAATAGTAGTAGTATATATGTCAAGTTGTATGTATGCACATTACAGCTGATGATGTTTATGTTATGTTTCAATCCCAGATGTGGAACCACAATATGCTGGTGCAAGAATAGAAGGCGATGTTGTAACTTTGGACTTTGTGAAGAAAATGATGGATGACTTCAAGAATCAGAAGTGTTTACATAAACGGTATGTACTGATGACACTCTTTAACTTTTGTAATTCAAATAGGATCCAAATTGTGTATTTTTTTTTATGGCAAGGATTTTGTGTACTATGTGGCAATACAGTCTATGCATAACAATTATTCTCGATATTTGTCCAAACGGAGTGAATATACAACTTGTGATGCACACGTCTGTCGGGACTGGGTGATGGAGCTGTTCGTTTGGCACCTTGATCCGTTTCTTGTTCTTTGTTGTTCAATCTTGTGTTTTATTCTTAGTCTTCCTCTTGTTTATCTTCCATTATTTGTTTGTTAGTTGGTTTGGAAATTAGTGGCTCAACTGAAGTTTTTTTTTTTTTTAATATCGCAGATATGCATACCAAATTGTTTTGCAAACAAGGGAGATGCTGCGAGCGTTGCCATCTCTAGTTGATATTAATGTTCCTAATGGAAAGCACTTCACTGTATGTGGTGATGTACATGGTCAGGTAATTACGATTCCTTAATTGGATAATTTACTGAAAATCTCATCATCAGCATCAGCATCACCTTTTAGTTTATGCGTAGAGAACCTATTGTCTATTAGCCAGACAAATATGTTCGTGTATGCTGACTGGTTCTGTGGTCCATGGAGGAGCACTACTTTTCAAAATATTTAATCTACTATGGGCTACAGCACCCATCACTAATTTCAAATAGATAAATAGATCATAGAAAAGAAGAAAGAAATCCCATTTTTTTTCATGAGATGGATAAAAAAACTGATATAAGGTAAGATTTGTATCTTTATTCTTTTCATCTGATTGTGAAAATCCAAATCGAAAAAATCGAGAGGTGTTTTCATATCTATCAGATAGACTGAATGGGTCTATATGTTGAGTCTTTTATCTGGTGTTGAGGCTTTAGAGTCGTATGGATTTGGAACAACACAATTGTAGTCCTAATAAAAGTAAACGAGACTTTGGTGGTGAGCTGCTTACTGTGATACAACAGCATGCATTGATTTATCTGTTTCATTAAACTAAAGTAGTATTTGTTGTGCAATGAATATACAATGTATCCAAAGTGGCAGTTAATGTGATGTAGAGTGCACTAAAACCAAACAGTATAATTATAGGAGAAGGGAAAAGGGGAGAGAAGAAGAGAAATGAGGGGAAAAGAGAAGAATTAGATAGACTGAAGTCAAATTGGGGGAGAAATTATCAATTTCTATTCATGAACGTTGTATCTATTACAATGCATAAGTTCCCTTTGCATAGGATTTCGAAAAACCTATTCTAAGCAGGAAATATTTAATCATATCCTAGAGAATCTAGTAAATAAACATAATAAAATACTAGGGCATCTAGAAAATAAACCCTAATAGCTTTTTCTCTCAAAATAAGAACCTAAACATGAAAAATAATCATATAATAACCTAGTAGGATTTTCATTATTTCTTCTAGACAGAAAATTTGACTCCAGTGAAATAGATTGCAACTTCTTAGTTAAGGAGGGTGATCTTTCTTCTTAACAAAACCTACCATATGATGTCAAATCCTTTTTACTGACTGATTTTCTTCTTTTTAATTGTTGTGGTTGGGGAATTATTTTGGATGGTTGAAGGTGGTTGGATGTGGGTGTAAATATTTTGAATTTGAACTGAAATTTGTTTGGTCTATGGAAAATGACTTGCTATGATACCAAATTGACGACGAACACATAAAATATGTTTGCACACTTAAAGGTCTAATTGATTAACATGTACTTTGTTTGGCTGCATCTACAGCTTTTTGACTATTAAATTGTTCTATGTTTTTGATATTTCACTAATAATCAATTTTGTTTGTTCTCTTTGGTTCAACCTCATTGTCCAATATCGAGTTTTATGTTGATAACATGCTTAAAGCTACTAGAGAACATGTTTTCTAACTTATATTTTGTATTATGTATTTTACTTTACAACACCAATGCTTGTCTTTATAACTCTTGTTTCATGGTCGCAGTTCTATGATTTATTAAACATTTTTGAGCTCAATGGACTTCCATCAGAAGATAACCCATACCTGTTCAATGGAGATTTTGTGGATAGGGGGTCTTTTTCTGTTGAGGTCATACTCACACTGTTTGCATTCAAGTGCATGTCTCCATCAGGTGACCATTTAGTTCTTGAGCCTTCGAATTTAAAAAGGGGTGTTTGAGCCACATTATTTTGGTAATAATGCATTTTTGAATAGTGTATTGATGGAAAATGTGTGGTTAAAAAATAAGGAAAAGTTTTTGATTTGCGTGTAACATTATTTTATTGAAGAATGTGTGGTTGAAATGATGTCAAATCACTGTTTAAGAATGTATTTTTTTGAAATAATGTAGCTCAAACAGGCCCTAATTTTCTTTATGCATCATTACTTCTAATGGTTGCACTTGTGCAGTCAAATAACAAATAAAATGTTCAAATTTGAGGAAATATCCTTGTGTTGTATGTCTATTTATGTTTGTCAGTGTTTGCATATTAAAGAAACTATCCTTATATATTGGGTCATTCTCAAATAGGATGTGAGCTTGACAGCATCGAAAGTAAGGTTTGAATTATAAAAAGTGGCAGAAAGTTCTGGAAAGTACAAGGGCTCATAAACTAATTAATTTGCTACTTCTATAAGCAAATTGTTTCCCTATTGGAGTTCCTCGTGAGTTGGAACTACATATAGTGGATTATATCTATTTCCTATTTCTCCCTATGTTTGCATTATATTTGCAGCTTCCATTAACCTAAATCATTCCTTATAAATGAACATTTTTATACTTTCAGCTATATACCTTTCTCGAGGGAACCATGAAAGCAAAAGCATGAACAAAATATATGGTTTTGAGGGTGAGGTCAGATCCAAATTAAGCGATACATTCGTGGAACTTTTCACGGAAGTATTTTGTTGTTTACCTTTGGCTCATGTGATAAACGAAAAAGTTCTTGTGGTTCACGGAGGCCTCTTCAGTGTAGATGGCGTCAAGCTCTCTGATATCAGAGAAATTGATCGGTTTTGTGAGCCTCCAGAGGAGGGTAAGCACCAAATGCAGTTTTTTATTTCTCATCTTATATATTGTGGTTTCTTTTGCTACATTATTCAAGTCATCAAATATGGTTTTCGCCTACACGAAAATTTTCATATAGCATTATCACTGTTTTGGGATTAGGTTCTGACGTTCTGTAACGGTTGATTCTGCAATATGCTCGACCTTCTTTAATGAGTTCTGTGTTAGCTTGAAAAATCATATGCCAACTTCGCCTCCAAATCTATAGCAGCAATTATTTACATGGGAGACTTAATTTATTCTTGTTTAATGTTAACCAGGGTTAATGTGCGAATTGCTGTGGAGTGATCCGCAACCTCAACTAGGTCGGGGCCCAAGTAAGCGTGGTGTTGGTCTTTCATTTGGTGCAGACGTAACGAAAAGATTTTTGCAAGACAACAGCCTGGGTAATTTTTAGTGTCTGTTTTGAATCTATAAGCCTGAGATTTTAAAATACGCTACATCGACAATTCACATGTTCTTATCTTACAGATTTAGTCGTCCGATCACATGAAGTAAAGAATGATGGCTATGAGATTGAGCATGATGGTAAACTTATAACAGTGTTTTCTGCTCCCAACTACTGTGATCAGGTAACATGATTATCTATTTTCGTCTTATGCCCAATCCTTAAATCCCTGCACACCACCCTGGGTGAAATGCATTTTTCAGCATTTCAAGGCTGAATTAGTGCTCAAGAATCATTTCAACATTTGGTTTTGTTTTCACCTAAGATCCATTTTCCCTTGATAGTCGAGCCTTTCATTTAATTATCCGATACTTGATGCAGATGGGAAACAAGGGAGCATTTATTCAGTTTGAAGCCCCTGAGCTGAAACCAAATATCGTCACATTTTCAGCTGTGGTTCGTAACTTCATTAATCCCTGTTTCAGATATTCGATTCAAAGTTGAATTTTAGATGTTAACATTTGACGCGAAATTTCTGTGATGAATTGCAGCCGCACCCTGATGTCAAGCCAATGGCGTATGCCAACAACTTCCTTCGAATGTTCTCATAACAGTATACCTAACTTGACTCTAATAATTAAATTTTATAATGCTATACTTAGTTTTTGCTACACATTGCTGGCAGAAGGCTGAAGAAGAATATATTTTCGTCGTCAAAGAAGATGACATTTGTACGCTATTTTTTCGAACTTCTTTTGTGTAGACTGGTAAATTTAGGTCGAGCTTTAAAAATTAGCACCAATGAAAGTGTCATGTAAAATGATTGTTGTGATCGTCATTTGTTGTGAATAGTTCAAATCACATTATCAACAATCAATCTATTTTGTACTTGTCTTTGTTATTAATTTGTCATTTTCATTTTCATTTTTCTAATGTAATTCATGAGGATTATTTTATTACTAGTTTGGTTTGTGCGTTTTTGTACCTTGAATTGGATTTTGAATTTAAAGCGGATGTTAAATTATTATTTTTAACAATTGCCTTGCATAAAATAGTACATTTCTTTGAGATGCTAATAACACATAATCGGCGTTATAATCGATCAAATTCATTAAAATTGTAACGCTCCAATTTTTTTTTTTAAGCATAAACACGGGAACGTTACGAAAACTCATTTTTCTTTAATTAAAAAAAATGCGGAACTATATAAAATTCTTTAATAAACAAATAATTGTAACGTTTAAATTAAAATTATTAAAAGCGTATCTAACCATAAACATAAACTCCTAAGTAATTCAAATAATGCGTTCTAAATTAAAATAAACAAATTGCTAAATTTAAAATGGCAAATTTATTTCTTTTTCTCTATTCTTTATCCACTTGGCAGTCCGCATCACCAATTCTCCACTGTTCCAATCGACTCGAACTAATCTGAAAAATTAATGTAATAGTGAGTATTAAAAATACCCAGTAAGATACGTGCAAATTTCCATACACAGGTATATAACAAATAAATAATACACTTCATACCGCTCTTCTCTTATGGAGTATATCGGTGACCAAGCGACACACCCATCTTAGGTCCTCTTAATTTCCATAAAGAAATTTCATATCTCTTTCTCTAGAACCCGAAGGTCCACTAGCATTCCATGTATATTTAATCGCATATAAGAGCATAAGGAAACGTAAACACTTTGCACATAAATGTATCTTACTTCGTTGAATCTACAGTATGTTGAAAATCGTTCCTCCGCTTTGAAGGTATGTGATTAAAATACTCGATGTATGAAATTCTATTTCTAATGCTGCTTTCTGTCTTCCTTTTTCTCTCCTTTCTCTCTCTCTCTCTCTTTTATCTTTCTCTTTCTCTATTTCACGTGTGAATTTTTGGTGTGGTAAAATGTGGGATTCTAGCCTACTATTTATAGGTGTAGACTAGAGTAGTAGATAAACCAAAACTTTGATTTGATAAAGTCAAATCCAATGTGGCACGTATCATAAAAAAATTGTACTTTATCATTATTTTATTTCATCTAAAAGAACTACCATTCCTATCCAATAAAAATGTGGTAGCCAATCAATCAAATTCAAAATGGGTTAAAACTATATAAAATTATATTTATCTTGTTTTCTTTCAATTGGGTATAACTTAATACGTTCTTATCCAAAATAACTTTTCTCGAGTCATAGACTTCTAATTAATTACGACCTTCGAAATGAGTCTAATATTGATATACATATCATTACTTTATCAAAATCCAATTATTTGACCCCAAATATATAATATATTAATATTTATTTCACCTTAATCCCTCACTTTCAAAATAATATAATAATTTATTTATTTTCTTAAATTGATGTTAAAATGTAGTACGTTTCTTAGTGTCTTATTAGCATACTTAAGATGTTCGTGATATTAAAGTACATTGTTTCTTCATCTAAATGGTGAAATAATTTATTTTAGTTCATTAGAGCTAGATGTCCGATCTTTATGATTAAAAAAAAAAAAAAAAGGAAAGGAAAAATCCGTGTTGAAAAAAACTGATTACTAGCACATAGGGCATCCCTGTACACACATAACATCTTCACAAAGCCAAGCAAAAATTGTAACAAAATCTCAAAACACACATAATTCTGTCTTTTCTATACCCCACAAGCAAGCACAGGCACAGAGTTGTTATTTTTTTGTACTGATTATAGATATACCAGGGTAGTAGAACGAGACTGCACGGGTTTGTCTGATTTCTAATAGACAAAAACTGATGTTGTTGATTCTGGACAGTGTAGTGGTGAAAACTGAGAACTGAGCATTTTGTCTTGCTTTCCTTTTTCATTGTACTTTTTTTGGCTTATAAATATATGTAGACTTTTTTTTGTAGATAAATCTAATCACATACACCTGCTTCAACCTAAGTAAGCCCATTTCTTAAGTCCAAAGCTTGAAGATAAACAATTGGGAATCAAATTTGAACACTTAGACTCTTTGCACGGAAAAATTGTATGTTTTTGTTGAAGGAATAAAAGAAACTATGACAAGTACAAATATTTTTTATCTCAGTAATCTATTGGAAGCTGATAATTCTGTGCATGTTTCAGAAAGGATCAAAACTGTGCAAGGCCATTTGAAGGATTAAAGTTTGTGGATGTTGGTTGTGGTGGGGGAATTATATCTGAGGTATGCATCTTTAAGTTTTGATGATCCATCAAACTGATATTATTCATCTGTCATGAAATTGCTCTCTCTCTCTATGGAAGGGAAAATCAGAATTCTTAAATCTACTCATGTTAACAACAATAAACCTTTATTCATCCCTTTTCTTCTCTCTGTCTTTAATTCATTGCTTCATCTACTGGAGTATCTAAAACAACTATAATGTTAGAAACCAGAACATTTCACGTTTGTTTTGGTGTAGTCCTCTTTCTAACTTTTTATACTCAAAACACGTCACTCTCAAGCCTCTCTAGATCAATAGGCCACTTGTGTTAAATTGGAACCATAACTTGATCTTATGACGTTGGTAGATACACTTGCGTACTAAAATTGACGATTGGATAGTTTTCTTATTTAATTTCTCTTTTACATTTCAGCCTTTGGCTCGTATGGGAGCTAGTGTAATGGGCATAGATGCTGTGGAAAAGAATATCAAGATTGCACAACTTCACGCTGTATGTTTTATTATAGAACAGAAGTAAATGAACCTCTTACATTTTTCTTATGAATGAGTGTACAAGGTAGCACAAAAGTACATACTATTTGTCTCAACTATCCTTTCGTTTTCTTTTAGTTTCTCTTTCCCCAATTTCCTCCAGTGCAATCTTCATCATCATTCAATCTTGGACAAACTTAAATGACTGACCTTTCCAGATTCCGTGGTGTTGGTAGATCGCATTCAGGAAGGAGTCAAACCCATGTCCACATATGACTAATAATACGGCAATACAACTATACTGCAATACCCAAGTCAAATCCAACGAAAATTTTGTATTTATATTATTGTGTTTCAGAAGTACCACAAATGCTTGCCTTTTCCTATCCATCATTCTGAAATGGTTCTTAGATTCTGTTTTTAATTATACCAACATTTTTCTAACCTTTTTTATGGGTTATTCTTACCACCGTCAGTAACCTATTTCACTGAAATGTTTGTGAGCTCACAGATTCAGGGTTGCCGAATGATGCAACAGATGTCCTTTTCATAAGAGTTTATCTTAAAACTTTCATGTACTCTAAGACTAATATTATTTGGATTTTATTTTGGGATTTAGTATGAAACTGATGGGATTTTATATCTTTCCCAGGATTTGGATCCTATAACCTCATCCATAGACTATCGTTGCACAACAGCTGGTACACATCATACTTGTTTGTTGACTATGAAGGTTGAAAATATTTGATTAATTGTTTACTGCTTTCACATATTCAACTCAATCTCTCATATGCTAATTACACATCCTGTGACTTGTGTCTTCATGTTAGATTGTGGCCCATTTGCTGGAAATGAGCATATTTATCAGATGATCTTTATGCTTAAATTATTTTTATTCATGTGGCATTATTTGAAAATTTTCTTTGATGCTCCCTGTTGCACGAGTGTTTCTTATATCCCTTTTTAGTTTTTGTGTGGGGGTAGAACAAAGTCGTCTAATTACTGGACGACTCTTTTCTTCATTATGGCATGAAAAGTTCATTAATTACTTATCATTCTTTTGGTGCACGTGGGTGTGTTTTAGCTGTGTACTATTGCCTGGAAAGTTCTGATTGCTATTGCTGACAGTTATGTGGTCATAGTTATATCAAATTCTTCAATTCTTAAAGCTTTTAATAGCTGAACCTCTGAAATGATTCTTCAGAAGCTTGATGCATATTGCAATTGTGTCAACAGAAAAGCTGGTGGAAGAACAGAGACAATTTGATGCTGTAATTGCATTAGAGGTACGTCAATGTGTTGATGCTGGAGCAACTTCCTTGTGATGACGTGATTGCTTAAGAAACACAATAGCATATTATACTAAAGACCACGCGAGCGTACGGTAGAGTAATAGTACGTTTGATAAGGCTTTTTCAAACGTATAAGCTGGTCAAACATTAATTTTATCCACGCAGGACCCATAACTTTTATCCACTTTTTATTCCTACATTCTGTAGGACTCAAGCTTATGCTGAAGACTTATTTGGCATAGCTTCTACTTTGCTTGTTGTAGAAGAGTTTTTTCAAAATGTCATGAGTCAGTTTTTTCTAAAAACTCTTCTAATCAAATAAAGCACTTCGAGAAAATTACACGCACAGGTCCAAATGTAGTTCTTAGTCTCAAAAGTAGATTTTTTTGTTTTTCAGAAGCCAAGCCAAACGTGCCCTAAATTGCTAATGTTATGCCATATATTTTTGCATTATGAGCCCGTTTGAGCCACATTATTTGTAGAATGAGAATGAAAAATAAAGTCGTTATGGGCTCCACACAAGAGATAGAAATTTAGAAATTCAAAAATGATGGCTTGATATGATGGATAACGGTCATATTTTTCATTTTAATGAAGTA